ATAAAATATAATGAACACCTTCGCCAGTTTGTTTCGCACCCCAGTTACCCAGTTATGGGTTTCTATTTAATCAGTTATCTTTGTACAATCTATAAAGCACAGGGAAAGTTGTGCCCAGGATCGTCTTACACGCTGAGTTTCCAGTTCCACTGAAAGACCAGTTGAGCCTGATTTCTGAATTTTTATTTGATTAGCAATTTTGTAGCAGTTTTGAAGAAAATGTATTTAACTGGAACAGGAGATGTTACATAACAGAAACTAGTTGAAACCAATCGTATAGTTCACCCCATGATTCAATAATAGAAAGGTTTTGTCTTCTCGCTCCCACACATAAAATCGGCTCCTTTACTTGTGCAGAATGTTGCTTACACTACAGTTTCTAGTGATATTAGTAGTAAAACCAAAAATTCGTCATACTAAATATTCGTTGTCATCACCTTCGTTTGCGTAATTTTCTAGAACAAGTGTAGAATAGTGACCGTTTAGCTATAAAATAACCAAAATGCCGATAGATAGAATTTTTTACGCTGATTACAACGATACCAAATTTTTTTGACGCTGGCAAAAAATAACGAAGATATAAGAGGTTTATTTGCTTTCTTTATTTGTATTTTTTATTATCACTGAATTGTAGAAACACCAAAGTACATCATGATAAAATATGTAATATCGAATTAAAGAAAATAACTTGTACTTTCTATGGACTATGGGACTGTAGTATAAATTTATTTACCATTAATTATGCAGTTTTTTTCAAAAAAGATTATTTCATGAAAAAGTAACATGTGTTCGTTTTTTAGTGGTTTTGGTTTAAAAATACAAGAAGCTATAAATTATGTACACCAGCTGAAGGACAAATTAATTATCTTTATGGTGGCGTCATTAGTTTTTTTATCGGTTATACCTACAGTTCGTAAGATATAAATATTTAAAAAATTTAAAAACTGAACTTTAACCTTCTAGAACGTCTTGAGTCTTTTACTTGCGCCAAATAATTTTGGCATGGTTGAAATGAGCATAAAAAGTTCTATTGATCTGCAGTTTTCGTTTTTGCATAGATGAACGGTCGGTTTCAGGAAATGATAAATAACTTAAATCAAAAATGCACATATTTATGTATTGTTTAGTATTTTCATTAAAACACCAAATATATTGCAAAATCGCATAGAATAAATAATACATATTTTACTTCTAATTGTATACTATGCGTACTTTTTGTAGTACCTTTCTACTACCGATTTCGCAAAGCGCGATCACATTCTTCCCCTTTGTCCTACTTCCAAAATACAAATCTAGATAAAGGAGTGTCAAATTTTAGCAGTCACAAATTACACAACCTTGTATTATTGAATCATGAGTTCACCCCATGACACCCCAAACACCCAAAACAAAAAAATACACAAACAAAATTTTAAATGTTATAAAAAATGTTCACCAAAATATTTTTTTTTTTGCTTTTTAGTAAAAAATGGTTGAAAAATTAAGGCTCCGGTGGATTATGAAATTTAATTCCAATTTTGAACCACTGTGTGCTGGCTTCGTCGCGCAGTATGAATTATGATAAACGCATTTTGGTAACAAAGGATTGAGAAGTCCTTGAAAAGGATTTGGCTTCATTTTTATTAACTCATAAATATTTGATATAAATTACGATATGGGTAGTAGTTAAAGCACACATTGCCTCAAAAAGTAACTTAGTGCAAAACAAATAGCTATTTAAACATAAAATGAAGTATTTTTTATTTACAAAATTGTATG